GGGGGGGGGGGGGGGGGGGGGGGGGTCAAGTTAGACGAGGCAAAAACTTGCTCCAGAGACACTTTTCTTATTACATATAGATTCAACATACTGTAACTTGAGCTACATACAAGCCACATTGATAAAACACGCCGGCGCCCAAGGGCCGGCGGATTTGTTCATAAAGTGTTGAACTGTGAACGATGTGGCCAAGGATATATTGACGCGTTCGACACCATTCCGTTGGCAAACAAGCTCTTCTTGAAAGCTTCTTGCACACGTGAAGGGGAGAGAAGAGCTGGGCAGACTTTCTACATTCTTGTCATGTTGAGTCAATTAAGAGCCTTCAAAGAAAGATATTAAGCCGTATGCGACGGTATGTGTTTGAAAAGCTCTAATTATTCAAGGCACTGATTATTTGATTGTTCCTTGCTTCAGTATCAGGTGGCTGTTTTCTGGCCCATTCAAAACAACAGCTCGTGCCATGGCGGCCCAGGTAGTTGGTGCTCCAGTGATGTAACATGGCGGAATGCAGTATTTGTCTCGTCATACCTGCCAGGCTACAATCACATCAAATTGCTACGCTCAAATTGACATAAGGCATATGCAGCTTGCTAAGCTTGGGAACCTGATCTGGTTTTCCCCATTGTATGTCGGCTCTGGCTTCTTCTAGGGTCTTCCGCTGTCGTTGCAAGCGTTTGGTATGTTCACTCAAGAAGACCAATGGCATTACATTTGCCATTTGCAGAATCAAGATGTTTTACCAATGAACACACCAGGATTATTTTTTACTTTTGTTAAATCAAGTTCATCGTGGGACACCCAGTGCAGCCAAGGTATATGGTAGCAGCCAAGAAGACTTATCCCACCTTGGTGAAAGCAGGGGAGCTGAAGGACGGCGTGACCTCTGACCCTGAACAGCATCCCACCAACAGTAAGAAACCTTTGGACGTCTCAAAAGGACTCGTAAAGCCAGGCTCGTACGTCTTACGAAGTGGTCACATATTCCTGTGCTCATCAGCTGTGGGAATGTCAATGCTCATTGATGCTCAATGATGTTTCATGTCGAGGATGGCGATGATTGGCGATCTGTGTTTCATGAGCAGCTTGCCACAAGCCCATGGCGCTTAGTCATAGTCGACAGGAGGGAGAGGGATCATGTAGCGTGTCAAGTAGCATGACAAGTGAGCCCAGTGAGCTTGACAGACATGAAATTGGTTGAATTTGCATCCTAGACTCCAAGGGTACCTCAAATGCAGGTTGTTATTTGATGAACTTGACTTTGGGACATCGGAATTTGAGGCAAGTGAACCAGTTTGTGGACCAGGCGGGCCACAGAGCATGAAATGGCTGAGCCACATCTTGCTACAACGACCAGCCAGGCCCTAAAGACTCAACCTTTCCACGGTGGAAGACGTCCTGACTTGGCAGATTTAGACGTCTATGGCGTTTTGCAATCTATCCGTGGTCGGGGCCTTGGTATTGGAACCAACATTCACATGGGGTCAGGGTCCTTTTCAACTTCTGTGTCACACAACCCTTCAAATAGACCTTCGAGACACCATGGATTTGTGCATCAATCACTTGCAGATACTTGCAGGTCATGATGTATATCAAGACATGGTCGAGAACACGCGGATTGGCCCCTGGCTGGAAAAGATGGATGCTGCAGTTGCCAAAGAGTGAACCTTGGGCTGTTCAGCAGATGCTGATGTTGTTTGATGCCTTAACCCTCCAGCAATCATCAGGCTGAAGAAAGCCTAATATGGGCTGTTTCAAGTGCAGATAGCCTGCTTTTCCAGATTCTAGGGCCCACCTTGAAGTGAAGGAGGGCCGTGCACAAACCCTTGGTTTGAAGGAGAGTGTCCGCATTTTCGCCTGGACTTGTGAACCAGGGCAAAGTGACATAGCTTGCAGTGTGCAAGGCAAAGCATGCAGGAATGCGGCGACCAAAAGCGCGGACGCGCAGACTGCACGTCACCCACGTCACCCACGATGCGTGGATCGTCGTGTGAGGCTCTTTGTTTTCGATGCGATCTGGGTTAGACTGACGAATTGAGATCTGCTGCTGGTTTGCGGTTGGTGTGCTGCAGTTCTGCTTCTGTTCTGCTGGTCTATTTGTTCTTGCAATCTTTTCTGCAACATCAAACACCTCCTGTCAGAGCAAGAGGTTGCAGAGCCATTGGACGGACAGAGCAACTTTCGGTCACAGAGCCTGGTTTGGTCCATCATGGAGCTCAATTCGTCGAAGGATGGCTTCTCTGAGTCACCTGCTCAATCAGGTGAAGCCGAAGCTTCGAGCAAGAGGCAGGTGGAAGTAGGGTTGAAAGGGTGAAGCAGGGTAAAGTAGGGTGAAGTGAATACAGCGATTTGTTTGGCATGGTTTGGCTGTTCCCAAGCTGACTCACCATTCTGAACTTCATGGTGCCATTCTGGCTTGGCTGGATGCCTTTCATCGCTACCAGGTTGGAGGCCATCGCTAGTAGGTTCAAGGTCTATTAGGTTGGAGGCCATCGCTATTAGATCCTTTATAATAGGCTCAGATCATTCTGCTTTGGCTTCCGGACTGTCCCGTCGATGACACCCCGATCCTTTCGTCGTTCGAGGCTGGTCTTGGAGGCGCAGATCCGAAGCCGCGGTGTGTTCTGGTCGAGCCGCATTCGGGTGGGATCCAATGGTCGACAGCGGGGGATCCAATGGGTAGACAATGCCTCTGTAAACGGATTGGATGAACACATGGCCGGGCCATGCTGCTGGCCTTGGACCAATGCCTTGGATGAAAAACGTTCACTTCGAGCCATGTCTTACTGGCCAAGGGAGACCATGGGACACCTGTATGGCGGTCACGTTCGTAGCAGTGCATCACAGCAGTTTAGCCGGGAGGATAAACCCTGACGTTTGTAATTTGATGTATATAATTTGTACGCGTTTGCTTTTCGTTTGTGACGTGTTCACAACAATTTGGTGGCCCTTCTCAAGTTTAGACACTTGTAAAGTGGTTCAACAATGTTCAACAATGCCTTGCTAGTGGCGATCGTCGAAGTCTTCAAGCTCTGCGTAGGAGGAATCAGATCTTCCACAACTCAGGAGACTGGTGGGGCAATTTGTTTCCACCGGTGTCCACTACGTCTGATGTCTGCAGACAGTTGTTCCGTTGATTTCCTTCGAATTGCAATTCCCGAACTGACTTGACACTTGACCAGGTTTCAGAAGTGGAGTGCTGGGCCAATTCAAGGGCCACGCAGATCAACCCAAATAACGATATAATATATATATATATACATATACTGTAGCTCAAATTGACAGCACGGGAGATGAGCCTGCTGGAGAGGACACCCTTGCACTTGACAGGCCGGGTAGCAACAGCTTCCTTTGATACGAGTCTCCCCAGTGGGGCTTGTTGCCACTAGTAATCGCAGTAGCAACATTTAATTTTGTCTTCCCCGATGTTGTATGTGTGATGTTTTATACTGCTGTTGACTAACATGCCGGTGTGGGCAAAGTTTTCTTTTTTTGCACAGATGGCATATTCAGTTTCAGCTTCCGTAGCAAATACCTTGGAGAGATTGAAATACGTTTGTTTCATGGTGCGATTCCGCGGCACGTTGGCCGTTTTTAGGAAGAGTGTTTGATGCATTGGACGTCAGGCACCTTTGCCGAGTGGCGAACAGACTTTGCCAGGTCCTAGATAAATTCTTGAGATAGCTAGTGGCAATCATCCTGCTTTTGCGGCATTTTTTTAAGACTCAGTTTTGGTGCCGTCCTTGTTGGTTGGAAAATACGCACGACATATTGTATATCATTAAGCTTGATTCAAACTTCTTTCACTCAAACGGGCATTGCCCAAGGCACCAAGCCGTTTGAGGCGGGTCGCATTGGAGCAGGACGCCGTACTGTAACAGTCTTTGTGTGACGTGTGCCCAGCATGCAACGCTGTTGGGCTGTTTTTGCCATGGAATGCTATGTCGTGGCGCCGAGCATTTGCCTTGGGAGCGCCAGGACACCTTGCGCTTAGCCATGTGCCTACGTCTAACATCTCAGTCCTTCAGCTTCCAGGTCCAACCCTCCACCTCTGCAGTTGGTGGACTGACCAGAGCTTGTACAAGCTTGTGAAGCGTCGTCCATGCAGCCTCAGTTTCGTATTTTGGTCCATTTTTGTTGTTTGGGAACTTCTTTGTGAGGTAAAGTGAGCAGGTAAGCCTTCAGAAATAGACCAAGCTCTGCATTGGATGTTGCATCTGTGTTCCCTGAGCAGATTGTTCCCATCAATGAATACTTCCCCCGACATGGAACTCGACTGGAGGTGGTGAGTCCATCCAAGGGTTGGACTTGGCGATTATATCCAAGAGATGCGCAGCCAATCAGGATCGGGGAAGCTGAAAGATGTTTCATGAACACTTTCACACGGATTGGTGAATGGCCTGTGAGAAGATGCGCATTTAGCATAAACATCTTTAATTATATAGCATGTTTCTCTGAAAATATGTTTCTAGGATTTAGCCGATTTAGCATGGTTCTTTTGGCTTTTTGGATGTGATCCAGATCATCCGGAGCTGCACACGTGTAGGTTTACCCATGTCTCCAAAGAAGGGAAGTTGGTTGCTGGAGAGGCAAATGCCGTGAAGGCCTCAGATTCTGCGGAGCAAGCGAAGCATTGAGAGTGACATCTTTCTGTTGAGAACTTGGTCGCCGAAGGAAAAGCTTCGCGCAAGGGACAGTTCAAAAAAAAGGCCCTTATTGCATGGAGCACTACCAGCTTCATGCCAGATGGCCCCGCAATGATTGACCCGAACGAACCGATGAGCTTTATGGGTCAAAGAAGATGCTCGGCAGCTCCAAAATTTGGATGAGGTACAGTACTTCTGGTCACAATGCAGACACATGATGCCGTTTCATTTGCTTGGACTAGCAGCTATTGCGTTGCATCCGCAGCGATTGTCCACAGAACCAGTGTGAATTCTGAACAACAGTCTGCAAAAGGATTGGCTGTGGACTTACTGACAGAGGTTTCAAGATTCCACAGATTGAATTGGCTCCACTCAAGATTGGCAAGGGTTTGATTTACTCTGAAGCCTGCTTTCCTGTGCAAGCCTGTATATACCCCGTTGCTTCCTTTCAGTGTGGTATAGACATACAATGACATACATTTTTGTGTCATCCAGTCGACAGAATGCAACATGTACTGAGACCTCTCAGCAGTTAGTACTTCATGGACAGAGTGATACAGAGTGTATTTCCTGAAACCAGAAGGTTGATGATCGGTGCAAGCGCGTGAGAGCGATTGCCGCCTGCGTGCAAGTCCAGTGACCAAGGTGGCTGTAGCCGTGGGAGACATGCGAGCAGGCCTGGCTTTTGGGATCTTAGCGTTTGTTGGATAATTAGTGTTGCATGCAGGCATATGTGTGTCGCATATGAAGGGTCAATTTGTGATGCCAACCCCATGTGTTTGGCATTGTGAACATGGCAGTTTTGGACTGATAATTTTCACGGTAAGCCTTACCCAGTCCAAAAGGGTCAAGCGTCATTCACAGTGTGTATTTGGTGACATTTGAGTAAGAGGGTTTCGGGGGACTTGGTGGGTGCTTGATGGCTCTGGCGCCAGCATGAAGACTGACCATGGAACATCATTGAGCTTTTCACCAAGCATCATTGAACATCTTGAGCTCGTTCAGTGAACATCGCTGAAACTTTGGTGACGGTGATCTATCGTCGGACACAAAAAAGACACCAAGCCACTACCACACTCCACCAGGCCATGGACTGAACTTCCACGTGGTGGAGTTGCGGCCTTGACCACTCTCAATCGAACACGGAACTTCCCGCGTGGTGACTGAGGCAAACTGGTGCAGTGGTGACTGTTTGGGTGGAGGCGCTTCGTTTGTTTTGTGTTTTTTTGTGAAGCTCCTGAAGGGCGTTTTCCAGGATGACTTTTGACATGTTGAAATCTGGTGAACACAAGACAGGTTGCCTCAAATAGGGCCGGTCGTTGATGTCTTCCGTTGGTTTCGTCCGTTTGCAGGTTCCAGTATCGCAGGAGCTGAGTGCGGGTTGTGGATCTCCGTTTGGAGGATTCCTTCAATTTAAGTACTTTACAGCGATTGATGCACAAAAACATGTTGATTCATGAGCATAAGCTCCAGCAGGGGCAGAATATACATTTTTGTGGGGTACCCTCTTGCAGTACTCTTGTATCATTTTTTAAAATCTATCTATATCTATCTAGTGTATTGCATCCAGTGACTTGCAAGTGCCTTTATACCGTTTTAACCAGTCCCTGGCAGTCCCTGTTCACCTTAGGAGCAGGATTTCCTCACTGTCCGATTCGACTCCAATCGAGCAGTGCGTGTCTGGTACACACTGGAGGCAGGGGGATTGTCTTTTTCTCAGGTGCATTGTATGCGAAATATCTCCTTTTCTGAAGCACAACATGCTCAGTATGTCGCACGCCGGTAAAACCTTTGTCGTGACTCTCCACCAGGACCAAGGTGTACAATACGAAGGTGGCGATGGGGTTGATCTGGAGAAATACAGGCCCGGGCCTTGCCCGGTATGAGAAGCTTTTACCATCACACAGCTAGTAAGCACACAGCTAGTTTGTCAGCATGGTTTGCGCACCATGGGGTAATGGAAAGATGGAGGCAGTCGAAAACTATTCAATGTAACATAATTTTGCAGTTTAGAGTTTTGCATCTCCATTCTCAGGTGGATGGGCTGGTCTGCTTAGATGCGGCTGCCTAGTCTGAAAACGAAAGGCCGTGCTTTGTAACGGATTATACCGCTTGACTGTGCTTCTTCACATTCATTGTTGACGGACAAACAGTGTTGTTTGACTCGTCAACACATACATAGCAAGATCATCAAGCATCATCAAGCCCTTTTCTAGTTGCTACAAAGCAAGTTGCAGACGTCAGGCTGATGGGGCTCGCGTTATTTGTCAGGCTTTGCTTGATTGCATTGAGTTTGAAGTAGCATGGAAGCCCCCAAGAAGCTTATACAAACAATATTTGTGACTATGAGTTATGAGTTGATTCGTGATGATTCGTGTCAGACACCCGGTTGTCGCAGCAAGTAGTCTTCAAATGCTCGGACAACAATGCAGACGCCGAAAGCATTCTGGAACTGCAGAGGTGAATGGTACAAAATAAGCTGCCAGATCGCTGCCAAATGTTTGCCAAGTCCGCTGAGCATCGGAAAGATCCGCTCCCAACCAATTTCTTCCTCCAGTTCCAGGGCGGGGTCCGGATCTTGAAGGATACCTGTAACTTGCCAGACTTAGCAGTGGAGTATTTTGTTGGCTCATTCTGCACACAAACCGAAGCTACAATGGCCAATCAACATTAATTACCAAAGAAAGTCAATGGACCATAACGGATGATATTGACCTGACCCATTTAGGCCAATGAGGCAGTAGGCATGACTCATTTTCGCTAGACAATGGCGGACGAATCGAGAGCTACGGAGTCCTCCGCGCTGACCCCGGCCCAAGAAGCCTTTACAGAGCTGCTTGCGCCCATCGGAGCGGTTTTCACAGTCCAGTCCATGTCTACGTCACATGTAACCAGTGCCTCACATAAAGTGCAGGCTGTCATGCTGATTCTGTTTCTTCTGTGCTTTTGATGCTAGGCATGTATTGTGTAGAAGGTACTTTGAGTCGCTTGGCTACTTTGTAGGGAGAAGAGTTTATTTGGGTCATCCTTTCTGAACTCATGGGATCATATTACTTCATGTATCTTCCAATCCCACAAACAAAGAGTAAGGTGTGCTTGTGACACTCGCAGGAGGGCAGCTCACCCTGGGAAGTACCTTGGGCTTCGCAGCCGGTGTCGCTTTGCGCACGGTGGGCCGAGTGGCTGCCGTGGGTGTGGGCTGCACCTTCTGCGTGATCCAAGGCCAAGGGGCTCGGGGGAATTTCCGAGGTGGGAGACCTCTAGAACCATCTAGACGAGCATGTTATATAATAAACCTTCTACATAGAACCTCTAGAACCTTCTAGAACCTCTAGAACCTTCTAGAACCTCTAGAACCTTCTATACAGCTCTCAGGCTTTCTATAATTTGCATGTTGATTGTAGACACAGAATCTGGACTATAGACTATGCCTGTCTATAACCAGCTTACTCAGGTAGTGGGCGGCTCCGTCGCAGTCGTTGCATGTTAAATATTCATGCAAAGTCTTGGAGATGTTTGTTTGCTGATATAGTATGCATAATGCTTTTTTGCATGCAGTTGCCTTGGTTACGGCATCCCATCAGTTTGAGCAAGTACACTTCCGTTGCCTTTGGTGTGGCATGCCAAAAACATGGCATTGGATGTGTGTAGTAATTACAGCCCTTTGCTTGGCAAGCCACCAACAACGTGGCATAGCTGTGTCACTACTGTGCTTCTCAGAAACCGAAAGACATGTCAGAGCGGCCACAAGAGATGGACATCAAAGAAGAAGGCTAGATTTCATGTGTGCACAAAGTTTGCAATCACTGCCGCAAAGCAAACTCTTGTGTCCTAGCCTAGCAACAAAATCAGCAGATAGTTGTCCTTCCGCTGCATTACGTTGTTTGTCTTTTTGTCCTTTGTTTTTTTTCTTATCAATCCCTTTGTTTCCGTGTCTTTTCATGCTCTTTTTGCTCTCTTAATATGGTTTATTTTGGTGGGACAAAACCTGTTGCTCTCGACCCTTTTTTGAACGTTACGTTGCTCTTCTCTCCGTTGTTTGTTTAACATTTAAGTCTATTCTCTCCATTACATTTAAGTTCAACAGTTCCTTCTTAAGTGTAGCCGCCTTCTTTTCCTTTCCTTTCCTCTCCTTTTTGTCTTCTGTCCTTTCCTTGTCCTTCATCTTCGTTTGCTTTTCTTTCCTTTGTCTTCCGTGTCCTTTTTGCGATCGCTTCTTTCTCTTTCTTTTTGTATTCCTTCTACCCCACCCAGAAGAGGTGAATGTAGTAGCGCCAGGTTGCTTTCCAAAGATGAATTGCCAGTCAGTCGGTTGAATTTTTAATGCGTTCTTCTGATTTCCAATTGAAGACTTATGTTGCCGCCTGTGAATAATTGTTTGCTTATACACATATAGAATACCATAGCTATTTGCATGCTGGGTGCTTCTGAGAGAAGCTGAAGCGTGCACGGGAACCAGGCGCTTAAAGTTACACTCCTGCCTGGGCTCAGCATGCGCGGGAAAAATCAGTGATAACAATTGGAAACTGTGTTGTTTTCTTACTTTTTCGCGTGTATTCCTTCCTTCACCTTTCCTTCCGAACCTTCCTTACTTCTGTTTTCTTTTCCTGTTCTTGACTTTCTTCTTCGGTGGATATGGGTTTGCTGAGGTGCATGACTTTCATTTTTCACTGTCATCTATGTCATTGTTCTTTGCATATGATAAAGAATGAGGTCATGATGTGTGGTATTGTGTGGTGGTGCAATGTGATTTGTGATGGTTGCTGTCGTGGAGCAGGATGGTAGCACATTACAGTGACTAGCCGTGTGCCCATACACCACTCCTAAATTTTATCAAAAGAACATTAAACGTGCAGCCAACAGCTACCAATGTGGTAAGGTAAAATTAGAAAGCAACCTTGATCACAAAATGGTGGTTTTGTATCGAAAGGTATCCTTTCCAAAGTGTCTCCTGACTTGGAATCTCAAACTTCGAGTCCACTTACTTGGCCCCATTCATGTCAAGGTTTGGCTTATCACGGCTACATTGAAGTCAATTGGCGAGCACTGGACACCGCGTCCTTGGGTGGTCGACAGTCAAGGTGTACTTTTGCTTGTCCATCCACATTTTGAACATGACAGTGCTAGACTAGAATGGATCCATACTTTGTTGTGCTTGATGCTCACTGTCGTACAGGAGGCCCAATAGGCTAAATGCAAGAAGTTGGAAGAACTGCTCAAAAAATTCATGTGCGTTTGAACCCTAAAGAAGCCTTGTGACGACTCGTGTCGGTGCGACAGATGCGACAGGAGAGAGACTACTTGAAATTGCTGGACAAAGACGGTGATGGCCAGGCACAGATCTGATTTGCACCGAAGCAGCACCCTGTTGTGGAAAAATCTGTGAGCCCGGCGGGCTGCTTTAAGACGGTCCATGCAGTCCAACGGGTTGCTCCAGTCCATCACAGGTGGGTGCAGGTGATCTTGCGCATGTTTGGCAGAAGACCGTGGATTGTCGGGAGCTCAGCTATGAAAGATTATTGAACGTTATATTCGCATGCACAGCAGGCACTGCATGGCTGAAATAGGGGCACTGTAAGACTGCTGGAAGAAGGTTGATGCATACAGGAAACTAGAGTGGGCCAAGATGAGCTAGTGTGCAAAAGCTAGGATCGAAGCCATGCGACCTAATGAAGGCGTCCCTGATAGTCATGAGCTTATTTTTTGCATTGGAATCCTGGAATGCTGGCAAAATATTGCGATTGGTTGCATATGCTGCGACATCCTCCCGCTTTCGACAAGAACATATCATAATATGAGCATCCGACAAAACTTCCGTACATACTTTAGTAATGACCTGCCTTAAGTATGTCTGTCAAACACTTGCATGACCGATATTCCTTGATTGAAAGTACAGTAGCTCATCGCCTGCATTCCAAAACAAAACACTAGAAACCGATAAGGGCCAACCAAAAATTTTTTTGCAGCGGACAGGTTCTACCATATATATATATATCAAACCAGAGGAATTTATGAACGGAGATTCAATATGAAGCCCTTGAAGGTGTTGGCTGCTCATATGAAGAAACAAAGTCAGTCTTGAAGCGGGTCTAAGCCAGCGGGTAACTTCATTCTCCAGGTCTAGCCTTCAATCTTCCAGCTGGCATGGGCTTCACTGCTGGTTTGGCCTATGGCTTGGGCGCATCTGCAAGCACTTCTTGGCGTCTTTCCTTAGCAGAGTCTTAGCAGCATGGGGAAAGGCTATTATGTATACGAGTATACAGAAGTATACAGAAGTCTTGAAGTCTCCCTGCCTTCCTCCGATCTAACCGGGCCTGAGAAGTCTGACCAACAACTCTTCCAAAGGCAACCTGCTTATTCATTTTGGTGCCATTTTGAAGCCAGACCGAGACACACTTGGCTTGGTCCAACGGTCAGACCTCTGGACACCGAGCGAGGCAGGTTTGGCGCCCCGGCTTTTGGCCGGGCGCATGCTGTTGGGCCTCGGTGCGACGGGTTCGCCAGCAGCAGTCACAGGGCTCTACACTTGGTGGCATGGGCCCAGCCAGGCGAAGACGGACGGCACCGACGAGACCGTGGGTCTAACATGGTTTGATGCATGTGTCTAGCATGGTCTAACCTGAGTCCTCCAATACAGGAGAGTCCACTGTCCACTGGTGAGAGATTGTTGGTTTGTGCTTTTGTCGGTCGGTGGCACAGGGGGGTGGTTGCTTAGTGTTTGCGTGCTCCTGGTGTGTGGCCATGACCATTGGCATCGTCAACTCTGAGGTACGCCCTGGCTACTGCCGCAGTTATCTTTTAGGTGAGCCTGAAGAGAACTGCACATGGCCTGAAAGTCTTGCCAAGATGAGGCGATCTGCTGCATAAACAAAGATGAGCCTTCTCCTTTGGCAAACAAAGTCCTTTGGCAGTTTCAAACTGTTTCAGCCAATCCTGCCAAGTGGGGAAAAGGAAGGCGCAAATTCAATGTGCCAACTGTAGAGAGTGTTTTTCTACCATTGTTGAAGCAAGAAAGACTTGCATTTCTTTGTTTAGGGACCAAACAAGTTGTCAAAGGAGGAAGCTGTTCCTTCTGCGAGATCGATTTTATTTGCAGTGCAAAGGCTTTGTCCTTTTGCAGACAATTGGAGGTACCGAACGGACCCACCAGTACAGCGCACTCGGAGGTGCAAAACGAACTTGTGAGGATCTCAAAAAGGAGCCTGCCAGTGCCGCCAGGGAGACTTGCACATCACCAGTATTGCGACGTATTGCGACCTTTTTTGCGTTTGGACGTTTTATTGTGAAGTGTGACAAGCAGATGCTAGCTACCAGGCTGAAATCGAAAGCTTCTCTTCAGTGCTGGCACCACCTGAGACTTACGGACCGCTTCTGGAGCTCCATTTCAAAGTTTGGAACATGTTTAGTAAAACGTTTTGGCCCAACGACTCCCTATACTACATACATACACTACACAGAAGAGAGGTCGTAAGGTGTGCGAAGGGTCAGCATGGTCAGCATGATGAGTTCAGAGCACAATAGCGCAGCTGAATTGAAACAATGGTATATACTTGCATATACTTGCCATTTGCTGGTTGGATGGTTGTACAGATTGAAGAGTCGGAAGACTGGATATATATATATATGTCCTACAACACGAAAAGATCTGGTCGTAACTTCCAAAACTTTTGGATGACCTCAGAGTGGAAAGAGCGCTATAGATTCCTCTAGATAGTTATATTGTATTGTCTTTTATATGGTGTCCTTCTGTGCTTGGAGGCCACAGCATTTGAGGACACAAAGCAATGCCCATGGGCCAAGAGCCGCAAGAATGGGTGAGAGTTTTGCTACTCGTAGCGTCCTTGTTACTACTGTAGTAGCGATGGCCTCCAGTAGTTTCTTGCTACTAGTTGCAACTCGTTCACGACATCCGATGGCGACAGTGTAGCCCTGAGCTTGTAATGCCATGCCCCTAAGCCAAGATGACTTTGGCTTTGTCTCTTGGATGCAACTGCTGAACTGACCATGACACATTTTTGGGTCAATTCGTCAGTGTGAGATTGTCGAACAATTTCTTGCCTCACTCAAAGCGCACCAAGTCCATCATATCCACAATGTTTCTCTCAAATCGCGTCAAGAAACACAAGGCTTCTGGTGAACATGTACCATTCAACTTACTTCTATCTATACATACTGTACATATAATATATATTATATACAGCATGTGTACTGTATTGAGTTGTGAAATGTTGTGAACACTGTTTTCTGTGCCATTGGTAGATGGGTTCTCCAACTCAAGGGCCGTGCGCCGTGGCGAAGCCGTTTGAAGAACATGGGCTTGTGTCGACCACAGCCGCAGATTGGCACCGCGTCTCGGCCGCAGTCGCAAATCTCGCAATTCCCAGTGGTTAGCATTGTACAATTTACGCACTGTTTTTTGTCAGACTCATTGGGGATTGCAGACCCACGCCAGTTGGAATAGCTTAGGCCATTTGGGATACGACCCCTGAAAGAGAACCACGTGTTCGCGGAAGTGACGCTGCGAGGAGAGACATGCATGGGAGGTCTCATGCTGTGCAGAAAGAATACAGAAGAGGTGCTTTGTCAGCACAAGAGCCTTACTACTAGGAGCAAGGACGCTACTAGCAACAAAGGGCGTCGCTACTAGTACTAGGAGCCAAGGACGCTACTAGTAACAAAGAACATCGCTACTAGGAGCAAGGATGCTACTAGTAACGAAGGGCGTCGCTACTAGTACTAGGAGCCAAGGACGCTACTAGTAACAAAGAACATCGCTACTAGGAGCAAGGATGCTACTAGTAACGAAGGGCATCGCTACCAAGAGCAAGGACGCTACTAGTAACAAAGGGCATCGCTGCTATGAGGAAGGACGCCACTAGTAACAAGGGGCATCGCTACTAGGAGCAAAGACGCTACTAGCAACAAAGGGCGTCGCTACTAGGAGCAAGGACGCTACTAGTAACAAAGGGCATCGCTACTAAGAGGAAGGACGCTACTCGTAACAAAGGGCATCGCCACTAGGAGCAAGGACGCTACTAGAAAAAAGGGCATCGCTACTAGGAGCAAGGAAACTACTAGTAACAAAGGGCATCGCTACTAGGAGCAAGGACGCTACTAGTAAGAAAGGGGATCACTACTAGAAGCAAGGATGCTACCAGTAACAAAGGGCATCGCTACTAGGAGCAAGGAAACTACTAGTATTAAAGGGCATCGCTTCTAGGAGAAAGGACGATACCCTGAGGATCCGATATTGAAAAATACCAATCTTACGATTGGTCCCAAAAATTGTTCAATAATATTGAACATGGTCAACTTGGGAGCCTAAGAATTCAATATCATGATCAATATAATATTGGTCATGATATTGGTCAATATTGATCGTGGAGATCCGGTGGAGTTCTTGTGGAGTTCCTGTGGAGTTTGGAATCCTGTGGAGATCCTGTGGAGTTCCTTTTGACATTGATATTGGTCTTGATATTGGTTGTAATATTGGTCTTGATATTGATCATGATATTGGTCGATATTGATCAAACATATGGATTATTTTTCAATGAAAAAAACAATCCTGCGACTGAAAAAATCAAGTTCAGTATTATTGTTGTTTTTGCGATATTTATTTTTTCAATATCGGATCCTCAGGGTGCTATCTCACAATTAACAGACGAGAGTCAGATGCCGGAGGCCCATTGTTGCTTGCAGTTTCCTGGGTCGTTGTCCTTCGCTGCTGAGGAGCCAATTGGATTCAAAGTTCTATCCCAAGGATGGGTCGCACATCTTCGTTCAACGAAAACAATCGAAGAGGGATTCTTGCAAGGACATTCGCGTTGGCGTACCTAGCAGCTACTAACATGACAAACGTATGTAGACAGAAGTAGGTGCGCAATGCTATGCAATGCTGCACAGAAGTCAACAAAGTCCACCTCTCGTGTAGCACAAAGACTTGTGTTGATTTCTCAATGTTGGTGAGGAGGCAATCTCCAGTCGTCCATTGAAGCGTCCGAAGACCCCACCAAACCGGGTGGACAAGGTGGAGGCATGGTTCTGCGATGAAAGCTACTGTAGATTTTGAGTCTTCTCATTGATTTGCCTTTTAACACACTCTCACACACATGCACTTCCACTTATACAATCTTACTTACACTTGTCAGAACCAGACTCAACTCACATGGTCCCAGGGTTTGGAGACAGATGGAGACCTAACCGGGCCGACATGAGTTTGTTTCGGTGCGGGTACAATGTCAAGATCACTTCAGGTCACTCCTCAAACATGTTTGCAAGCAGGAGCCTCCAGTGTCACTCCCGGCTTACGCTTTAACACGAGACAAGGTTCGGTTGGACTAGGTGGTCTTCTTTCCTTTAGCCATCAATTTATCAGCCTTTTTGCCCCGCTTGGCTCAGACTTTCTGTCAGTACCCATGTACATCGATGTACCACGTGTGTCCTCCAATCAGGGCATCGCAAGAATTGACCACATCCCGATGAAGCAGAGGGCTTTGCATGATACATCAAAACGGTGTTTCCCTTGGGCTCGGGCGCCCAGGAGAACGGTGCGTGGTTTGCAGAGCCTGCCATGCGTATTGAAACAGATACAAGAGCATGCACAACTTATGCGGGCCAACCCAAGCATCCCGTGACATCGCGACATTTTGAAGAAGGAAATGGTTCGTCCACAACTCACGCTACTGATCTATACGTTTGTATAAACAATCGGTTTTCGGTTTTTGCATCGACAATTTACGCACGCAACACCATTATGAATTATGAATAACAGGATGCATCATGATGTCATTTTTTTTAGTGAATAAACTTGTTTGTTCCTCTCCCCTTTTTCAACAACCAAAGCAACAAACTGTACACAGGAATCACAGGGAGCCCAAGACTCGCTTGATAAATCTTGATGCACCCCCATTTTGCCTTGAATCTGCGATGCAAAACCCTGGCACGTTGAAGATCTCTTTTTGGTGCAGTCACATGCCTCACATTCGTTTAGCGAGCCAGTTTGAGGCCAGAAGCCAACTCACCGGATACGAGAACCCAGTGCAGTGGGAAGAGGACTTGGATTGGTCTTCGGACTAATTCCAGAGACTGGGAAACAGAGATCAGAGATCCAAATTGACCGAACGACCAGAGAATGCAGAGCAAACTACCAGATCATCAGCTCAGGAGCCCATCCCTGGACAGCGCCCCTCACATCCAGTGTCAGCCAATGGTCCCGTTGGTGAGGAGCTTGGCAAAATCTTGGGGGAGGTCTACTCTCAGCACAGGTCTTCGTAGCAGGTATTTGTTTCAAAAGCTTTCATGTTCGTTTGACATCATACTATTCCTTCCTTCCATGTTCACCTTTTGCAAGCTTCGTCTAGTCTCATGTCATGAGTTTGCACTACTTGCACAACAAGTTCGTAGTCTCATGTGGTCTCCATTCAGCTTGACAGGTAAACATTCTACCCTTGTTAGGAGTTGAATCCATGTTAATGTTTTTACCTTGGGCTTACGAGGAATGCTCGACAACAACCTGCTTCGCCTTTGCTGTCCCTATATCTTCAATTCCTCTGAAAAAGATCCGTGCAAGAAACCTGTCATTCCAGGGACTTTTAGGGATGAGTCCAGTCCGATCATGTTGATCTTGGATTGTGAATCCAGGGATCAGTGCATTTCGTTGCATACATACAGTAACAGAAATCCGTCTTTGGGTAATGAATTTCGTTGCATTTCTTCACGTTTTGATTATGGGCTTCTGGCTCGTACTCGACCAGCAGAGCCTGCGGGCGGGTCTTCCAGGTGTGGAACACCGAAGATGTTTCCCTGAGAAGCAACTGCCTTCAGGGTTTGAGTCCCAGAACTTGACAAACTCGGTTGGAGCAATCGGACGCTACGAACGGGGCTCCTGGCATCGCTACTAGTAACAAGAAGCTACTCCTGGCCTTACTACTAGGAGCAAGGAAGCTACTAGTAGCTATGTGCTACTAGGACCTTTTCGCGCGCGCGCGAAACAGAGGTGAGCAGAGATGAACACATGTACCGAAGCTGGTCTTATCATGTCTTATCCTATGAGCCGCTCATAGCAGGGGTTCTGGGAGTTTTCTGGACCGGTTTTCTTCGAGACAAGTCCAATCGACTCAATATTCCACTGCTAAGTTTCCCTTTGCTGCTGTGAAGTATGGCTTGATCTTGGAATCTCGGATTTGGGATGATTTGGGTTCAAACAAAGTCCAGGATGATTTATGTTGTCAGGATCCCACCACCAGCGCTTTGCAAGGCAAGCTGGAACCAATTTTGGCCGCACGATTTCGTGGCGGACCCATGGAACATCTACTGTATAAAGCATACGTCCTCTACACAGTACGCAGCCATAACTCAGCTAAGGAGCTAGTCCCTTGATGTTACGTGAGCATTTCTTGGGCATGGGCCCCATGTGGGTTGTCATGCATTGACAAGACCGGACCTGACCTGATCTGATCCATTGCTTGCTTTGCACCACGGCCAGCCCCCCTTCGGCTCTGAATGGGGTGGTTGGGCCTTGCCGGGGTTCCCGGAAACAGACGTTCGGTGCAGCGAAACAGCGATTCACACTTCGGCTTTTAGAGGACTCTTGGATTGGTTTCGCGCATATATATATATATGTATAGATCGCCAAGTCATGCCTAGCCCTGGCCTTTGACTCTCCGTATGTAGACAGGCTAAATTGCAAACTTCCTTTTACATAAGTGCAGCACAGCTTTTCTTGGGTGCTCCAGCATGAGAGCTTAGAGCAGTCTTGGCTTCAGCAAGTAGAATTCTTGTCAGCACACATATTCTGAAATCACTCCACAGCCAAGTCGAGTCCAAGTGCCCTTGCAACAGCACTAGGAATGGTGCTCCTGGACGTGGACCTTTGCAACAACCATGGGATTCCCTCAGAGGTGCCAATGAGGAGCTTGCCGAGGTCAAAGCTTGCGTCCTTTTGTGATGAGCCTGCTTCATAAGTTGTTCCCGGGATCTCAGGATCTTAAACAATCAACTTCCCCTGAGTTCCCCCCAAAAGTAGTAGCAGTGCCAGTGGCAGTGGCAGTGGCCGTGGCCGTGGCCGTGGCCGTGGCCGTGGCAGTAGTAGTAGTAGTAGTAGTAGTAGTAGTAGTAGTAGTAGTAGTCGTAGTGGTAGTGGTAGTGGTAGTGGTCGTGGTGGTGGTAGTGGTGGTAGTGGTGGTAGTCGTGATAGTAGTGATAGTAGTGGTAGTAGTGGTAGTAGTGGTAGTAGTTTAGTAGTGGTAGTGGTAGTGGTAGTGGTAGTCGTAGTCGTAGTCGTAGTGGTAGTCGTAGTGGTAGTGGTAGTGGTTAGTAGTAGTAGTAGTAGCAGTAGTAGTAGTTCTAGCCCAGATGTAACCAAGGACTCCAAAGCGAAGCAATAGCACAGCAACAAAGAAGCAAGCTCAGATATTTTCCCAGCGCTCCAAGTTTGCCCATTATTCCCACCCCCTTAAACCGTATATAATTCACGTCCCTTGAAAAAACATGTTTGGAGGGAATGAACTCTATGAATTTTGAGGAGTGCTCTTGAAAGAGGTTTTCATGTCAAAGTTGCAGAACTCAAGCAGAGGTTAAGCAAGGGTCTTTAAGGGAAGCAATAGCTGAATAGAATAACTTCAGAGGTGCTGGCTGTAGAGGTGGTTGTTTCGGTGGCGGTGGTGGATTCATTTCAAGCTAAACCAACCAACAAATCTGAATTTCCAAACTGTCAGTTTGGGCACAGCTTTTCATTACTTGTCCCCTTTGATTGTTGAGGATACAACAATATAGTGCTCTTTGGCATGCCCATACAAATGACTTTACCTTTCTACTATGTCACTGTGCCAAAGGCCAGACATTTAGTTGCAGCGCCAGCCAACCTGAGCAAACCAAAATTACTATATAGATTGTGCTAGTGATGATACTATATGATACTGATAATTGCACGGTCAGAACATTTCGCATTCAGTTGTGCACGCGTGCACCAACATTGGCTGTATCGGTTTCGTCCATCAATGTCGCAAGCGCGCAGCCACAAAGGAGCGGGAAGAACGTTTTTGCGATGCGCGTACCAAGCGTTTTCCAGAGATGAAGTGATGCCGACACTTTTGCTTGAGTACCACTATGCTTTCGTTTTCGCTTGCAGAATTGCAGAGCTTTTTGGCATTTTGGTTTGCTAATAGTCTCTGGGTACAGATATTTTGGTCCGCCTGATGCACTCATGTTGGCTATCTCGAGGACTTTGAAACACCTGTCTAGTCCTGTTCTTCACCTGTGTAGTGATAGGTGTGATAGGTGTGATTGTCGTCAGCCAGGTATGAAGACACCTTCCATCGAACCAAATGGCCTTGGCCTTTGCGGACACGTTTTGCATGCAATACATTGGGTGTTCGTCAAACCAGCAGTATATCACTTGCACCTACCAGGTGATGAAGAATTCTAGTTGCTTTTTGGTTACAGGATGTTAAAGGTAGCAGTCAAACTGACAACAGTTTGCTTCCCTTGCTGAATCCGTCTCGTTCTGTCCAGCTCCTTGGTATCGTAATTGGATCTCACAAGCTCACAAGAAAACAAGGAGAGGGGCCATCCAGGGATTCCAAGTGTTCCGAAAGGTCCTGCTGCAATGCTCCAGAAAAAAACGGAAAAGGTCTGCATCTAAAGTTGGACATGTGGTAGCACCTCACAGAAACCAACAAAGACAAGCCTCCCTGTGTTCCACCTGAAAGCTGACACGGTCAAGATCTGAGGCACCTGGATGCGAAGGATCATGTGGCAACTCGTTCGTCGTCTTCGAGCACGTCGACGGGATGATGTTCGAGACCACTGTTTTCTGGGAGGAAAGTAGTAAGAAAGTTTAAGTATTGGCTACCTGGGTGCAAATCCCGAGCAAGCTAACGTTCATTTTGAACCTTGAAGTACATCTAACCCAAGCTATGCCAAGCTGGAAGACTTGGTGACAGGCAGAAAAACCGGCAGCCTCTTGCTGTAATGCTTGCTACTTGTAACAGATATTCACCATTGGCTTTTGTGTGTTTTACTTCCACCCATTAAAACATTGTTGTGGATTTGATGCCTCAACGGTCATGTACTGACGTTGTCATGGTATACTACATCACTGGTCACGTACACATCGACAGTACTCTCCCTGGCAGTTCAGGTGCGCACTGATGACAATAGGATTTGTGTTCGCTCTTTTCTTGTTAGATGTACAGCTGAAAGCATAGAACTGTTGGTTTTGAACGCACAGCACTTCAGAGCAAGAGATTCAATTCTAGTTCCAAACTTTTGGCTGCATATTTTCGAGCAGAGTGTATGTAAACTGGTTACTGTACATACAAAAACGCGGGACTGCAGAACTTTCCCGCGGCCAAGGACCCTGCAAACGCCAAGCGAATTCATGTGAACGTACCCAAGGTGGGATTGGCTAACTCTCCAAGAGTCTCGCCAAGCCCACAACTCTTGTTTTTGATGGAAATTTTGAGGAGTAGGCAGCTGTCGCAGCTGTGAAGAGGTCAGATGGGAAAGGAGTACGATGTAGATAGTAGCTTAAGTAAGCTACTGAGCAAGGAAGCTACTAGTAGCAAGCACGCAGTAGAACAGTTTAGACAAACTTTTTGATTGTTACTTGGTGTTCATCAGTGAGCTTCGCTGCTGCCAATCACTGCAGTTTGTGCATTTCTGTTCTTTAGCGTTGCGTTGATATAAACATGAGTCAGAGGCAACAGGTTCATCTCATTTGTCTTTTATGGACTTCCAATGCAAGTCCTCTCTTTTTGACTCCCTAGATCACCTTTTCTCAGCGTTCGGATGGACACGAAAGACAGGTTGGCCTAGCCACACCTGCAGCAGGCAAAGCTAGTGCGAGGACCCAGGGACCGTCGCCAGGTCTCAAGTCCAGGGGTTGCTCGATGTAAACTGTCCCACACCAAGCACGAAGCCAAGGCAATATGCCCGTGGAGGGAGCTGCGATGGACTGGTATGAGCGAGTTCGTGGCAAGGAGACTTCCCAAGGCAGTCTAGGCTGTGCTGCGGCAAAGGTTTGCTGGCATCAAGATCATCCAGGGTTAGATCATCCAGGGTTTTCGTGGGCAAGTTCTTTCATGAAGTTTCAAAAGGGGTCGGACACTCGTGAAAACTAACAGCAGATCACTTTTTGTCAACCTTCTCCAACGGCTGTATTAGGGATGCTTCCCCTTTCTGCTTTTGCAGCCCCTTTCAGTTCAAGCCGTCGATGTCAGAGCTGCTCGAGGCGTATAGCAAGGATTGCATGGCAGCTTTGGGCAAGCACAGACGACTTGAGCCAGACTATGTGCTGTGTAATATATATATATATATGTGGTAGGGACCTTTGGGGTTCATTTCGCTCGTGATAGAATGTGTACCCTTGACGAACCTTCCCAGCTGCTCACATCCTGAAATCGAATAGGATTATGTATAAACTACCTGCTATAATATTTGTGCTCCTTCATTGGTATAAAGATTGATCATATTAACATTATCAATCATCAATTTGCAAATAGTGTGAAAAATTGATCATAAACATCTTGTTCCTATCCTTTTCCAGAAGATTAATATCTAAAAACATATGTGGCTGTTCAGTGGCTATTTCATAAAGTTTATATAAGACCTGCTTACTTTCTTGGATATTGTTTCTTTTCTTCTAGGTATTGCTGATAGTTCTTTTTGAAACAGTTCTATTTCTTTAAAGTTGCTGACCTTGTAGCAGAATAGGTGTGTGGCATTAACTCTTATCAGTGTGGTCAGTGCATTAAATTTGTGAACAGATGTTATAACACTAATACCATTGTGTCTACCTCTTACATAAAGGGAATCAAATATGTTTGAATATCTTGCTATTTTGGGATCATCTGCTATATCATCCAAGACTATTAGGATTGTTTTTTTTATTTATGTTTTTTTACTGTATTCAGTTATTCTATGTTGTGTTTCAATGACTTTCATTAAATCTTCACTGTGAAAGTCTTCAAACAAAACCTGCTCTTTACCAGTGTTCACTTTCATTTCTTCCTTTATGTATTTCTTGACTGGCAACCAGATGCTATCAACATTTATTGAAGGTGACCAGATATACACCCTTGAAAAACTTCCTTGTAGGTGTCCATATTCATGTTTGTTAATAGCACTGATTTGCTACTACCAGACGGACCGGTTATGATTGATCTAAAGGGCACTTTAGAGGCAACAGCATATTTTGATTGAGTGAATTCATAATTGATTTCTTTGATAGGTTGAATATGTGGTGCGGTGTTATTATTCATCTATTAATAAAAATACATAGAAAACATTATTAAATATTAGCAGATCTCCTATGGACAGAGTGCGGTAGGTGAGGCTACGCTAATCCGCATAAGTCGGTAATTAGTTTGCTTTTCAGCAATGGATTTTTTGCCCTTACAGTTGAATTCGTTTTTAGTGTTCTCCCAAGCACTACATAATTAGATGGTGTTAAAGCATTATCTAATTATAGTTATATATTATGACGCTATCTGAACATGATGCTTATATAACAGGAAGAGATGATATGGAAAAAAATGATAGTGCTAAATATCCAGTTGTTAAAGATAATAAACTTAAGCAGTGTTGTAAATACTCACTGGAAATGTCAAAATTGATAATTACTTATCTAAAATGTAATATTATACATGCCACCAAAAAAGACAAAAAAACAACAAAGATGAATAAAACACAAATCCCCGAAGAGTTTGAACTAGCAGATGAAGAACCAACAACAATAAAACTAGATGAAGAACAAAAACTAACAAGCAAATTCATTACCTTTGACTGTCCTTTATGCCAGGGAAAACTACAACTGAGAATGAAATTGAAATCAACACTAAAGGCAAAAAGTGTAAGTGTAATCCATATAGCTTTAAAATCAGCAAGAGTGATAAGATAAGACTATGAAAGTTTCAAACGATGATGGTGGATCTATTACTTTAGATAATACTGACAAAATGGATGAGCTGATAAAGAAAATGAACAGATATAATAATCGTCTTAAATTGATCTTACAGTTGTTAAAAACCATTGATGAAAAGACTAATGAGAAAAAATGATTTAAGGAAAATGGAGAAGCATCTGAAAAGAAAAGCATAGGTAGACCAGTAGGGGACTTTGAAACCAAAAGGAAGCAGTATTTAGAAATGTTGAACTCAAAAATAATAAAACAACCTAAAGAGACCACCATACAATGTTACAAAATTGATTATGATGAAGACACTGAAACATACTCATGATAATATATTTTCTATGACAACATATTATTATGAAATTATAACAATTATACAGGTTCACACTTTGATGGCACACAGGAATCGAGACAATACATGGCATATATGCACTTTTTGATGAAACACATCGAGGATCTGAAAGGGCCATGTGTGCCATCATAGTGGTCAGTTGATGCTTGGGGGGATCGGCATTGTAATCTACTAGAGCCGTTTGGCTGGTATGCCATCTTATTGTTTGTTGCAGGCCTTAAGGGTGTTGTACTCTGTTTGCTGGTCTCTCTCTCTCTCCCTCTCTCTCTCTCTGTCGACGCTTTCCAGTTCTCCCACACCAGAAACTCAGTTTCCGCAAAAAACCTTTTCCATCCAGCAGCCCCAAGAGTGTCATGCACTGTAGGTGTCCTGTTTGTATAGTTTCTTTCCTTTGCTCTTTCTCTTGGGCTTCATTCCATTTGCTGGATTCTAGTATGAGACTAGCTCGCTCTCACTCTCACTCTCTCACTCTCTGTAACTCCCTCTCTCTCTCTC